TATTAGGCTATAAAGTGGTTATTCTTTGTGTCAGAATATCAGAAGATGAAATTTGTCTTACTTAAACTATTGAAAAATAATCATCCTTAGAAAATTTTTCTGGCCTGAATAGCAGATGTTTAAAAATTACGAAAAATTCAAAACTTAAATTTTTTTAATACCACTTGTAATTTTGAATTTCCATTCATATGCACTCCTACGCTGACGCAAAAGTGACAAAATCACTAACATTTTTTCTTAAATTATTTATAATTTTAGCTAGAATTATGCTTTGAATAAATGGGAAATGGACTTTTCAGTATCCTAAAGCATATAAGTATTTTTATAGAATACAAAAGATTATCATAAACCTTCTCACGAAAACTTGCTCCTTGTCAGCAGTAATATTAAAGTAATATAAATCTTAGTATCATAGGTAGTTAGTAATACGTAAATCTCAGCAGGAATGCTCGTTATACGGTGATAAATGTGGATATAGCGATTTATTTACTTAAGTCAATTAGAAGTACAAAACAATAATGAGAATGCCAATTCCATTAGTACTAAATTAATATTCCTTTCACCCTAAGATGAGATAAATATAACTGACATGTTTTGTACATTTCGGCCGATTAATTCTGAGTGCTAGTTTATGAATGTGAAATCCCAGAATTTTGTTGGAAAAATAAATGCTTTTCTTAATAAGATTAAATGGTGATTTTTCCTATATTTCTCTAAGTATTTGTTTAATAACTCGCAGCTTGTGTACTTTGAATTAGAATTATAAGCTGTTATTTGATCAGATTGTCAAAAATCTTACATTCAGTTGTTTAGCTCACGACATATTCATCTGCAGATGAACATAAGACAAATATATTCTATATGCATAATTATATGGAAGAACTTTAAATAACCTATTAAGTAAATTATCTGTAACATTTACGTGTATAATCCTCTGATATTTCATATGCAAAATAAATGCTTTGCTTACATAATTACTTGCAAAAACCCTAAAAGCTCAGAGTCAGTAGTCTATAGATATAGGCATTGGGAATCCGATATGAAAATACATTTTGCTTACACTATTATTTCCTATAACATTACCGATTAAATATCTGTAACCTTTACAGATGTATCCTTTGGCATTCCACGTACAAAAGCTACGTTACGCTTGTAGAGACATTAGGATATTTTTGGAAGCAGGCAAGATGAAAAATTAGCAACGCCCTTCGCCGGGAATTGAACAGCGGACCTCTGGAATACGCACGCAGTGGGCAGACCACGAAGGCATGCGAAGAAGGCGGGAGAAATACCTTATATACTCCCCCCTTTTAAAGGGCGAATAGGGTTTTTAGGGGATCCAGTTACCAAATCCTGGGTGAGGAGAATCATTATCCAACATCCTTTTAGTTCGGGTGCCACTGTAGAGACATTAGGTATTTTGGAAGCAAGAGAGATTGAAAAATATGCATCACCTTCGCCAGGAATCGAACCGCGGTCCTCTGAAATACGCGCCCAAACATGCAGACCACCACACCACGAAGGCATGCCAAGAAGGCGGGAGAAATACCTTATACGCTGACACAATTACTTTCGGTAACATTACATGGCAAAATTCTGTAACCTTTATATGTATAATCTCTCTAAAGTTACAAAAGTTACAAAGATGTTATGATTATATAGGTAAGGTTGCGCAAGTCGTACCGTCGTTTAAATCGTACCTTTTAGTAAATATTAGGTGTAATATTACGCCAACTGCGCTTCTTCCGACGAAAAGAGTTACCTCCTAGTCATCGATATTGTTTTTCATGGTGTTCGTCTTCCTGTAATATTTGCGAGAAAGACCGCGAAGAAAATATTATTTAGTGCTTAAAATACAAATGATGGATACGCAACTTAAGTGCCGGTGTTGACAAGAAAATGACAAAATATCCTTGTGATCATCATTGTAATTAATTGTATAAATATATTAATTGAGAAAAAGAATGTTTTATTATAATAGTCCCATTTTAAACGTAGTACAACTTAAGTTATACCGGAATTATTATTAGAATACTAGTCATCTAAGTGGTATTAAGTTCGTGTTCATAAATTTTATTAATTTTCTCCAACAGTTTAGAATGTACGGAATTTTATTTTAATAAATATCAGCAACGGTAGCATGAAATATTATTGCCACACAATAATTTTTATTTTTTTCATAGATCCTACGATTTATCTGTTTTTTCTTATGGGGTAGACTTAGACAATCTTACGCCAAATAGCCTATGGCACCCCAGTTTTCTTAGTAATCTTACAGAATTATTTTTACAGTTTGCTAGTTAGAGATATTTCATGGGAGTTCGATAGCAGTTTCAGTGTCTCAAAATAAATTAACGAACAGCTTTCTATTCTAAATTCCCAAGATGCAAGAAGATTACCTCAGACTTGTTTGGTGTTATCCTGTGTTAACGCCAGTAGAAACACAGACTACAACAATGACGTAAGCGTTTCCTTACTGCAAAATACAGATAATAAGCATCTCCTGCTTATCTGCTCAGTTTCAAGTTATTGCATCTGGAAAGACAAAGGCACGCTTCCCATCCAGAAACACTTGCAACTTTATTTTTAAGCTTGCGGATTGATATCTACCTAGCACGGTTCCGCTTTCACAATGGTTTATTGGAGGCAGCGAATAGAAGCCTGGTTGTCAAGACAGTTACTTGCCCGGTTTCCTAAATGATTGAAAAGGAGCCAAAGACGCGAGCTTATCTTATTCTGGGTATGGGAGAGAGTAGGAAAAAAAAAAGATATCGCATATATGTGAGTGTTTTGGGATGTAGGGGGATATATGTGGCGATCCATCATGCCGGCCTCAGAACGCCTAAAGAGTTCTGTCTCTTCATGCATGGGTAAAGAGGGAATTTTTGATCCCACTCGCTCGCCGCTTTTTATTGCGAAAGTAAAAATAATGAACATTGTCGACTCATTTCTGTTCTTCTGCCAGATTCAATACAGTTCGAATGAGCTGGTAGCATTTCGCTCGGGAATTACGAAAGGAATTTTTCTGGAAAAGTCTACCACCTCAGTACTGGAGTAGTCATCAAGAAAAACGTTTAATAGACAGCAAATTTAAGCTTTCGTCTCATAAAAAAATCATGTCAACGAAAATTACGCTTTTATTGTTTTGTGATTCCAGTAAAGCTAAATTTTTCATAGCATGATAAATGTTACAGACCTAAAAGTTACTAAGCCAAAAGGTACTGCTACGCAAAGATTCATCTACAGTACCACATGAAAATCACGAATCTGAAAAATCCGTAATTTTATAAAAATACGTTAAATGTACGAAAATTTTAAAATGGGGGAAAATCAAGTTGCAACATATATACAAAAAATAACTTATAAGCATCGTATACAGTACACATCTCTCTTTTGACATAGAGCCTCCGGGGTCAAATCAATGAAAACGGTGCAACCGCAACGGGCAATCGGCGACGGCGGCGGACTTTTTAAAATTAAGACAAGTAGCGAGCGGCTGAGATTGCATTGGGCGATAAAAAGTCCAGCGTCTTTGTTGGCATTGTTTAAATCATCGAAGAAACAGCTAGGAAATTCATTTATGTGAAGCCAACCTAAACGTTATAAAGAGAATTCTCTTTCTTTAAAGGATAACCTTCGTGGTGTAATTGGTAGAACGCACAGCTAGCAATCGAAAGATCCGAAATTCAAATCTCAAAATAAAATCGGAAGTTTAAATATCAAACTGCTTGATACCCAAACATTTGAACGATTTTGTATAAATGTGGTATGGAGGTATTAGCCATGAAGAATCTGCCTAATTTAGAGAGGTCTTGCAATTCTGAGCTTTCATATTAAGCGTTTGAGTTTTCGTTTTTTGAGAGAAAATTTTTTCAGAACTTTTTCTTTTCTTTTTTTAAAATTGTTATACCAATCAGAGCGTTTTAAAATAAAAATCACCTTATTAATATTCTTCTTCCGTTTTCCAGGAATTAACAAATTAAAAAATCACTTGTTGAATGACATGTGAAACGTACTAAATAAAAAGTTAATTTATATCCCCAGCTGGGGACTTGCTAATTGGAATTTCAGGCCTGTGGCAAAGAGTGACTTTGTAAACTTGACTGATGAATCACGAATTATAACTCTAACTAGAAATTATGATTATGCATCTTTAAATATATTTCTTTTATATGGGATGAAAACATTAACCGCATCATAAGAATTTGGGGTATAGGGGTAAAACCTGGAATATTGTTTTAAGTTATCTCAACTATCTCTTTCGCATTGAGAGAGGGCAAAATCTGTTTCTGTCAAATATTTGAAACGCTCGTGTATACGAATTTCTGTTGGAATGGATTTCATTTGTGCCTGCCAAATAGAATGCTACAACCTTAACAATAACCTACTTAAGTGAAGTGATTATTTCTCTTTTGAGGATCTTTGTGCGGTTTCATCCACTGTGTGAAATTTCCCGTTAGGACAGCATTGCAAGTACTAGCATCGGTAACTAAATGTTGACGTTAAACAAAGGAGAGGGAAATCGCTTCAAAGGAATTTAGTCGTTTCAAAAGAACGATTGGCATATCATTTAACAACTCACGAAAACAAATGAGCCACGCACTGACGCGATGGATTAAAGCACCAAATAGGAAATAGACGTAGGCGTACGGGCGAGCTGCCGATGTCTGAATGCTCAGGCGTTATAGGTGACTTCGCTGTGAAAGAGCTAAAAAATCTTGCAGTGTCATCAGAAAGAACATAGCAAGCAGTAATATCAGAACTGAGTTCATCTACTATTCTATAAGTCTATCTAAATTAAGAACTATGTAAAGTTATTTTTTTCTCTCTCTTTTATTCGGTAATGTGGTTAATTTTTAATTTCACTCATTTATCAAGACAAGGTACAGAAATATCATCTTTCTGTAGTTAATAGAAAATGCATGTATGGAAGGCATTTAATAGTGTAGTATATGACAAAATACGTTTCTGTTGCCTGTAACGTAATTTTTTTTTTCCAGTTCTGTATCAAAAAAGGCTGAAGAAGGAAAAGCGGACACGGAGGCGTGTCCAAGAACAGTTGGAAGCAGAGGTAAAAAAACGGGCGCAATATGAAGAAGCTCTAAGGAGTAATTCCGCGGAAACTCTGCGCCTCCTGAACGGTAAGAATCACATTTTGGAACTCAGAAAATATCTTTAGCTTACTTACAGATAGTATATAACGATTTGTAAGTTTGTTGAATATTGTTTTATTCCGTATGGCTAATATACCACGTTTTGACTAAAAAGAATTTTCAATTCCATGTTAACCTGTAATGCACAAAAATATGAAATTAGAATTTAAATAAAAAAATTTTAGTTACCGTAGTACGGTTACAGCCCAAAGGAATAAACTTAAATAATCTTTTATTCAAGAAATAGTTCAGAACTAATCAATCTCACTTGCGTGAAAAAGGTCAGCATAAGCTCACGACATTCATCGTGGCAGGGATAATTTTTCTGCAAGAAATGATTCTCAGATAATAATGAAAGAAACTACATAGTTGAACATAGAACAAGGAAACCCAGTACAGATACGTTTTTACGCTTCTTCCAGTAAAAAATTAATAAAGAGGAATTCACATCATATGATAAAGAAAAGAACTAGGTTAAAAGTGAAGAATTTGCATTCGATTACATTTTAGTTGAAATCACTTGATATTCTACATTCCCACTCGAAGTGGTATGATGAACAAGACTTCTGTCCTATAGCATTCTTCCTGTAACATCACAGGAAAGCTATATCTCCCTTTATCACCATTTTAAGCTTGTTTTCTCCTCCATCTGTAAAATGCGTTACTATAGATTATAAATAAGGGTTATATTCCCTCGTGTCGTTTACATCTCCAATCCCTACGAGCAATTGAAGACAATGGTACATGAAACATTCAGCTAATTTCTACCATGGGAGTGGGAGTTTAAAAAACAACCCATATAATATCATATGCACGCTGCAGATGTCCGTTACCAGCTCGTATTCCTTTCGCCTATATTCGAGCCTAACGCTATATTCGATTTATACGAGTCTATGATAGTCATATATTTTACATTTTGGCATAGAAACGCCAATAATCAGCTAGGGTGGGAAAGTGTATGTTAAAATTTTCATAGATGGCTTAAAAGGGGGAGGTTCAAGATCCGTATAATACCCCTTTATCCCAAACGGAACATGAGGGTTAGGGGGAAGAAAAAATATTCGCCCCGTTTCAGAAAGAAAGGGGGTGGGGTACATTTTTTCACATTAAAGAGTTAGGAAGCTGCCGCTGTAAAAGTTTAAATTGTTAATGCCGGGGGAAGAGGGAACAGAAAAAGGACAAAAAAGGAGAAAGCAGATCTAAGTCCCCTTCCTCTCCCACCAGTAGGAAAGGGCTTTTAGAGAGCTGTTCGCTAGGGAGAAGGCACGGAGTAATGATAGCTCAGTTATTGTTCGGAAAAACAAAGTTCAAAATGCGTCACTGTGAGAGGTACCGAAGATGCAGATGAACTGTAGGGTTGCCGTAATTTCTGATCTCAGTATTCACGCCAGTGCGCCAAATGAAAAGATCAGAAGTAGAACTGTAGAGCTCAATCTATGCGAATATGAATTTCTATTCTAGATTACACAATTGTGCCGCCCAGACGAGAAAGTGGTTAGCGAGTCCGACTGCCGTGCCGAAGGGCCCGGGTTCGAACGCCGAAGAAGTTATGGAAGTAATTTATCCATCTCTTCATAGGAGGGAACGATGGCCCACCTATTAGGGCCTCCACAGAGCCCTTCCAGCCTTAGTCCAATGCCTTAAACGCCTCGATCCCGCCAGTAGAGGGGGATTTATCAGCTTATATCCACTTATAAAAGTACATTTTTTCGCTGGCTTCGGATGCTGCCTTTATGGGAATTTAAATTCTGATTTCAATTTCAAAATTTGCGGAATAACTGGCTGTATGGCAGTTTTCGCGGTTTTCCTCATCTGTATACGAGCCTGCTTCCCTTAAGAAGTTTTCCACGAAGGCATCGCTCCCCATCGGCAGATAGCCCTCGCGTGCTTTGTGATAATTAAATAAACCAAACAAACGAAACCGATTGATGAGGTATAAGCTTACTCTCTCTAAATAAGTAAACTGATCAGAATTTTGGAATTTAATTTGAGGAGAAATTAGATTTAATTTTGAAATATAATTGAACAAAATTTATTAAATTATTTTAGTATGTGGTCAGAATATTTTAAGGAAGACATGAAGTCTCCTCACTGTGAAGTTTTACAAATTCAGTTAAATTCATTCTTCGCATTAGTATGATTTTATGGCTTATTTGATTATGACAAAGCACTTGAGCGCTGTCTGCCTAAGGTGAGGAATGCCTTCGTGAAAGACTTTCGAAAAAAAAAAAAAAAAAACTGGTTCGTATACAAGTTACACATGGGGAAACCACAAAAGTGCTCGTACAGCCAGCCCATTAGCGAGATGCGAAACTACCAGTGTTCAGCGACGTTACCGCTCGGCTGCTGGTGGTCTTCAGCATTAGTTAACTACACGCGGTTGGTTTAAGATGAAGTGGAATTTTTATCATTGTTTTAATAACTAATTTCCATATCTTAGGTTCTAAAAATATTGTAACTAAATCAAGTTTTGTATTCCGATGTATTCGCTTTCATTGTATGGACCATGTATTTTCCCATGCAATGAAATTATGCTATTTTCGAATGGGCCATGTATATTCTTTCCGTGCAGTGCAGGCTTCTTTTATTTACTTACTGAATAGTAAAAAAAAAAAAAAAAAAAAAAATTACTAAAATTGGGTTATTAAACTTCTTACAAAATTAATAGAATTAAAAATAGTTCTTATTAAAGTTAAATACGTTTAAATATAGCTGATAAGTCATTTGTTCTAGCCGAATAGAGGTTTGCAGTTGGAAGATAAATCGCCAAATGTGATTATAGATCCCGTCGCATTCCAACCCTTCCTACTGAGCTATCGTAAACTTACGTTTAGAAATGGCGCCTTTAAAAATGCCAAGTATCCTTCTAAGCCCCATGCGATCTTTCTCCAACCCATTTTGGACGAGACATTTTACAAATGCATGAATTTAGGCAAACGCGATTTCCATAATGCTTTGTTGCCTTCGTCTCTACCATTAGAACTCCGATTTAGGTAAGACACTTTTTCCCTCCCACCCCCTTCAGGTACTTGAGGATAAAGGCGTCTAACAAGCATTGCGATAGTCGTAGAAGAATCTATAGATAATGCATGGGAACGAGTTTTTTGTTTCTCTGTGCAAAGTGCAATAGAGCTCCGTTTTTGATCGGTGCAACTATTTGCTCCTGCTAAATGAAGACTGATGGAGTTCGGAAATTAGATTTATTTTGTGATAGCTACCCTCTGCCTTATTTATTGTTTCTTCTCTTCTTTGCATCGAGAGAAGTTTAAGTACAAAAGTTTCTTAAAAGAAACATTTAAAGCTGTGCATAAATCGAATTAGGTCTCTGGCTGTTTATGGGGCATTAGTAGCAAAGAAACATACTCATCTTGATGAAAGTTTTTACTGAGCAGACGCAAAGGGTAAAGTGCACTTTATAAAAATTAAATATAAAATAAGGATGAATCCGAAGACTAATTGATCAGTAATATACGTAATGAGACTCATAAGAATCCAAAACTTAAACTTAATGGATCAGTGATTCAGATACCTCATTCACTGAGCTAAAATAAAAAACCGCAAGTAAGACAAAAGTTTGTAAATTTTAAAATGAATAAGCCATTAAACTATAAAGAATTAGCTGAAAATGCATAATCCGCAAGTAGGACAAAAGTTTGTAAATTTTAAAATGTATAAACTATTAAACTATAGGGAGATAGCTGAAAATGCATACTTTTGGGATTCAAGCCGTTGCTTTAGCATAATTTAGCACAATATAGGTCTGCTGTATGTGTGTGATTCTGACTACCATACGAAAGGGCCTGGGTTAGAATCCCGGAGAAGGCATGGATGTAATTTGTGCGTCCCTTCACAGAAGGCAACAGTGGCCCACCCATTAGGTACCACTACAATAATGTGACCACCGCTTACGGTCTTAGTAGTGGCCGACGCCTATAAGCGGTAGAGCCTAAATAAAGGGAGGAAAGACTTGCTGTGCTTTATTATTTTTTCAAATGCATTAAATATTTTAGAAAATTATAAAATGTTCCCTTGTCCACTTCGAATTGCAATTTACCTTGTCACGAGTGAGTAATAGTCATTTTAAGATAAAAATTCATAAATAGAAAAAACAGTTTTTTGGATACATGAAGGCTCGAGCTTCGCCCGATCATGTACGTTTTGCACGAAGATCCTCATGATTCAATACGTTATTCTTGTAAAATATGCAATATTTGTAAGACCAAAATGAATCTAGATCGCTGTTATTAAATGAGATCCGCAGCCTTCTAACTGAGAAATCCTTAACATTGCAGTTCTCTGAATACATGGCAGTCGATTTTCTTATAAAGATTAAGTACATAAATGTCACAAACGATATGAAAAATGAAACTGACTGTTAATAAAAAGACCAAAAAATGATAAAAAAACAGCTATAAATAAAGAAACGAAGACCCGAAGAAACGTAACCGCATGGGATGCATTAACCACCGACTCAGTGCTTCCCCGATTAATCCGAGCGACCAGCCTATTGAATTGCCTCTTAATTCAAATGGAGAGAGAATGCAGAGAATCGACAATGAGGTAGAATAAATGATATTAATCGTCAGTAACTTGTCCTCTCCCGACCAAGTCTCACGAGAATTATTTCGGTTTCGGGACAGAAGGAAACCTTTGTTTCTGCATCTTAACTCTGATCTCATTATTCGTCCGTTCCCCAGCCACCCCTTGCGTCTCTTCCAAGAAATCCCTGTATGGAGTTGTTCCAGTTTTCGAATTCGTGTTTATTAATGCTTCTGGATTTTACCTCCTCCACCCATCCACAGCCAAATTGTCCCACGGTGCTTTCCGGGGGAAGGGATCATTTAAGGGGGTTGTCACTGAGTTGCGATTGGTTGAGACGGAGTCGCAGCCAATTTCGCCATTGCTTTGCTTTTACATATAATTGTTTTTTGAATTTTTGATTGAGAATGTAAGTGCTATAAAATTTGTTATATTTTTAAAGATCTCAT